AATGAGTTTATCAGGAGACAAAAAGAGTCTACTTTCTTAATATTATCGCATTACTGACAAATGTTTGTACATCATTGTCATCATATTTATTGATAAAAAGTTGCTAAGTAAGACATAAAGACATTCTGGGATTTAAACAATTAAGATAGTTAATTAAATTATTGTTAACTTAAATATATAACTATGGAAGATTTTCGAGCTCTAACTCTTTCAATAAATGCTTATCAAAAGTTATATATGCAAGTACTAACAATATAGTTTTTGTTAATTAATTCTCAGAATATTTTAATATCTTACTAAAAACAACTTTTAGATTTATTATCTTGGATATATAACAATTTCTTCCACAATTCTGATGTTACTCTGATAAGCAATACATCACTCAATATCACTTAGGTAATCTTTTTTTTAATATATAATTTATACATACATCTCAAAACTTTTCCATTTTGATGAAAAACAATCATGCTACTTATAATTTTCATTGTATATTCTCTCCAAAAGTCTTATTCATTACACAATCTCAGATAATACCTATTTTGTAAAATTTTCTTTTAGCATTTCTTATACCGTAGCTTATTCTAAGAAATAAGGAAAGAAATAAGAGAAATAAAATCACTTTCAATTAAATCTTTAGAATCAGAGTTTCAAATTATGATTCTTTTAAAAATATTATTTTTACTCACAATCACGATTAACTTTGAATATTTCATGTGGCTTAAACTACATATATCGTTTTGAATATCATTAATTCATAATTTTTCAAATATTAAAAAAATCCAGATAGATCACGAGATGTAAAGGTGTAATTTAAATACCAATTTAAATATTAATTAAAAGAACACAGTGCGGTTACATAATTTTTAACGCAATTATTTATCAAAAAATCCAATACGTTTTGTTAATCTACTTTAATATACATCTAATAATTTTTTTATTTAATTTATTCGAATAAAACAGAACTTTCATTGGTATAAGCATATAAACTACTCATCTTCGTCTTCCTCGGGAGTCCCGCGACTCGATAAAAATTTCATGAGTTTCTAAAACGCGAAATCGAATAACGCGCGTCACATTAAAAATTCGTGCTTGACACGCCGATTTCATTCGGATGCTTTATGGGCCGGTTTCGCGTTTTTATTATCGTGAGAAATTGGCGAACATCCGCGCACTATCATTTCATTTTTCATAGTCATCAGCGCGCAAATGATACCGCGATACGACTCAAACGTCATCTTATATTCTCACATTTACATTAATAATTTTGCGCATAACTTGGCAATCTACAATTTTGCATATTGTATGATTTCATTTAATTGGCTTGTACCAGTATGTTCTTTCCTCAAGTTGAAATAGTCTTTTCGAAGAGTCTCTCAAAGTTGCATTCGTAACAATTTTAAATACAAGCACGAATTACGTGTTCAGTTTTTGCCAAAAGATGAAAAAATTGTACATATTACGATACACATAAATTATCAAGAAAATCTCACAAACGTGAAATATAATTTTTTACCATGTCGTTCCCTATTAGTTAAAGGCAATTGGGAAAAGTTACGCAAGCTCCTCTCACATTTATCTCAAACTTTTTATCAATTTTACAGATTCAAATACCAATATATCATTACTATTAACGCGTGTTTATAGCCCGAGACATATTTTAATGAGATTACAAGAATGTTGATTGAAGAAATGACTTTCGCATATTTGCAAATAATTAATTCAGCGTTACCCGAGATCTTGCGGAACTTGCAGCATAATTATATTTATACGTTATTTCGTTCATGGATTTGAGTAGCGCGCCACTGAAGATATATATCTATAACGTGTATGATTGCCGCAATTTGAAAATCGAATAAAGAGATGAATGAATAAATTCGACGAATGACATATGCGAATCGCACTCCACTTTCCTTCCAAAGATATTTCCTTTCGCTTTATTTCGCACAATCTTAATCATACCGAGTGCTCGCGCAAGTATAAAGTAATCTCGCTCGTAATTCCGCGCGCGAAAGCTTTAGTTCTCAATGCAAAGGGACAAGTAGCGTAGATAAATCGAGGACCTCGGCGCGCGCAACAGCGGTTTAACCCGCTCTCTTATTTCTTTTTTTTTCTTTTTTTTTTTTTCAAGAATACAAGAGACTTAATCTCAAAGTTGAGGAAATTACATTTGCATCAATCTTCTCGAGTTTGTAAAAAAAAAAGGAAGAAAAACGGATGAACGGAAGAACTATTATTGTATCGAATCCTTCTTATCATAACGAAAACGTCTTCTCGGGAGAGAACGTCAACCTTTTCTAAAGTCGCGCCATTTCTTTCCGTTCGGATCTCTTAGATATAGACATTGACGCATTGTTGATTGTGAGGCGAATCGAATCGGATCGAATAGCGACGGGTCTTAAAGACGTGGATTAAAAACATGGCTCATGGGAATCGAAAAGATTCGCGCGTCCTTTACCTTCTCGTCCTCGTGCGGCGTGGGTGGTGTGGGCGGCGTGTACATTCGCGGCGCGTAGTCGCCGATCGAGGAAGCGCCGCCGGTAGAGGAGCCCTGGCTCCTTGGCGGGCTGAGATCCGGGATAGTGGCATGATATTCCTGGTGGAGTCCGGTGGGCATCACCCCCGTGGGCACCACGGGACGGTACTCCATCGCGCGCACCTCCATACCGATCGCACCCGGTCCCTCGGCCGCGATTATCCTGCGGCACCACCGCTACCACGGGTCTCCAATCCCACGTCTTCGGCCTCCTCGTGGTCGCAATCCTCCTCCTCCTCCACCTTCTCGTCCTCGTCGGCGGCGGCGTCGTCGTCGTCGTCGTCGTGATTGTCGTTGTCGTCGTCGTGATTGTCGTTGTCGTCGCCGTGGTCGTCCGGCGGCGCAGGACACGCGCGGAAGAACGCGCGGGGCTGACCTTGACGTGTCCCGCACTTTCAAAGTCTCAGCTGCTTGCAAAGCGACGACCTTGCACGACGTCGTGGCTCCGTGCGATCTCGCGATTCATGCCGATCTTTCGGCAGGACGATGGAACGAGACGCGATTATCGATATCTCTTCTTCATTCAACCGGCGCGGGACCGACTCATCGATCTTTCGATATCCAGATCCGCCAACGAAATGGTCCCACTCATCTCTCTCGATCGCGCGCACATCTTGTGGGGTGGCACGCGCGACCTCGCGGACCGCGATTGAAGAAATTTAAGAGAGAGAAAAGAGAGGATTGTGTGTGGAGAGGAGACACGATGACGGAACGAGAACGCGCACTCCCGAACGGTGTTCACTCTTGATGTCGATCGTGAAACACCGTCGTCGTCGTCGTTGTCGTCGTCGTCGTCGTCGTCGTCGTCGTTGCCGCCGCACGCGATATTCGTGTGGACGATTTTACGCACCAGTAAAATTAAAAAAAAAAAAAAGAAAGAAAAAAAAGAACAGGGCAAAAATCGCAGAGACAAGATGACAAAATGAGTTTTTCTTCTTCGGGATGTTAATATACACGAAACAAACTGTCAAGTAATAGAAATCGGAGCGCCGGCGTCGGCGGCTGCGGTACACTCTGTTCTCTCCGCTCGGCTATGCGTGCGTTCAGTGGCTACCTCAGGATGACGCTCACCCCTTGGCTACTTTTTGCCGACTGAATGTTTTGCGCCGCCGTCGCGGCCCTCGGAACGGCCGGAGCGTGCAGTATCCCCACCAGGGTTTCTCTCTCACCAAGCCGCTGGCTAAGCCGAGCGCGCTACGACGGCGCACCATCTCGCTTGCTCTCGTGTTCGTCGCGCGTTCAGCCGATCCCCACCATCACGAGAGAGGCTGCCGCTTCTCTCCCTACGACGACGACGACGACGACGACGACGACGACGATGATGACGACGACGACGACGACGACGACGACGACGACGACGACGACGACGACGATGGTGGAGCAACCGAGAGGCAAGCGTGGAAGCTAGACGCATATGTGAGAGGCACGAAGGGATAATTAAGCGGGTACATCGCGTCCTCCGTACCACCATCTCTCTGGTTTACGCGCATTCTCTCCCTCCTTCTCTCTCTTTTTCTCTCCTCATTTCTCTATCTCCCGCCGCTCTTTCGAACCACCGCGAGAGATCACTCCATCTTCGTCGTTCGCTCGTCCTCCCTCCTCCTCCTGCTCCTCCTCTCCTTCTCTTACACTTCTGGACCGAGCGTCTATTTTACGGGTGCGAGGTTACTCTATCCTCAGTTAGAGCAATCCTCATTTATGAGAATCATCACAAGTAATTATTCTTTCTTTACCCTTTGTTAAAAAAAAAAAAATCGTACACTGATGGCGTCTCATCGTAATGTTTTTAAAGTGTCGCATCACTTGATTGGTTGGTTAGTCAGTCGGTCTGTCGATCGGCCAATCGATCAGGCTGATCGAGATCGCGAAATGTCGATCGGGAAGCACGTGTAATTATCATGCAACCGATAGGGAGTTCACGAATCGTCCACGGACATCCATAAATCAGAATAATAGTGCGCGATCGCTTATCCATCTATATACTATCCATCATTATCCGTTGTTTACCGTCTCCGTTGGGTATATCGTTTCCTCTGCTCGCGGAAACGACCATTTTCTTTTCAAGAAACTCATCCAATGTATTACATTTTTCATGTAAAGTATGATTCCGGTGTTTTCCCGTATATAAATCGGCGCCTTTCATGCCAGGTGGGAGAGTAAGAGAGAGGAGAGTAACAAGCTAGTTTGCAATCGGACAACGTTGAACGCGAAAAAAACTGACTTGACTTCATCTAATAGTCGAGCAAAGGGGAACGAGAAACAAGTAGCTCTTAAAATTGCGCTGATACTTCTCGCTATAAGTATATCGCTCGATATAAATCGGAATACATACTCGATGGTTAAGTAAGCAATTAAGTAGCGATATCTGCACCCTTCCATCCTATTTCATTCTGGAACACCCTCTTGTCCGTTGTTCTCTATTCTCCGTTCTTTTCCTACTCGTAGTCGGATCACTCGGTCGAATTCGAACGGACGATTTATGAACCGTCGACGAATAAAAGCGTCGTCGTATCGGCCAGAGATATATAAATATGCTCGACGACGACAAAAATTTCACGTTGTCGCGCGTAAAAAAGGTAGAGAGAATAATCTCTCGTCCACGTTTAATCACTTATTTGCGTTTGCGTCGGTAAGTAGCGGCGCATAAATTTCGCAAGGTAAAGGTAGGAATAGGGAAAAAAAAAAGAACGGGCGTCGCGCGCGACGGTCGTTATGACGCGATGTTAATCGATTTGTCTGGAGAATAGAATACGCTTTTTGTCGGTTTTTCGGCCGGGCCGAGAACTCGCGAGGTGAAACCTGTTCCCCGCGTGATCGATCGCTTATGGAATGTGAACTTTACCTCGTCTAGCCAAACTCTCGCGCGCGTAATGGATGCGCATCTACGTTGACGCCAGCGATAATTATAGCGGTAATTAATTAATCGCAAGTCGTACGCGTGCACACGCGTGCCATTGTACGTATGCACGCGTGCGACGTGCGTCTATAACGTGATTTTATCTCACCTGTTCCCACACCGCCCGTGAACTCACGCGACGTTCTCTCTCTCTCTCTCTCTCTCTCTCTCTCTCTCTCTCTCTCTCTCTCTCTTTTTTCGGAATACGTTACAAAAAGAGAATTGTACACATTTTCTTATACTCGTTTTTCTCGACGTAGATTAATTTTAATCTTGGTTCAACTTACTCGATTTTTCTTTATCTTTTTCTAGTTTTATGAATTAGAAAAAGATAAAGAAGTTCAACCGAGATCAAAGTTATTCTATTGGTGAAAAAACAGGCATTGCAAAGTTGTTCTGTTGCTTTCACGTTTGACTTGTGTTCTCGTCTATCATTCTCTTTAATTGATTTACAAGATCTCAATATCTTTCACGTCTTATCACTTCTGGTACATTGATCCAGAAGCGTTCACCATGACATTAAACGTGGCATTAAATGAGACGCTATTTTCCTTCAAAAATAACTTATGAATATAAATAAAATTTTCTTACTTAGATAACCACGTTTAATGACGACATTGTATCAATATAATGTACACAATTTCGTTATAACTTCATAATAATATTGTATACTTCATGATAATTAGTATAATGATTTCTGCGAATCGATAACAGCTCCGACCAAAGCTCCCGCTTTCAGTGAAGAAATAAAAGTTTTCCTACATAAATTGTTAAGAACAACTAAAAATTCTTTTTCTCCGAAACTTCCCCCTCCCTCCCGAGTTTCCCCACTGATTATTCGAGAAACGGCGCATCCTTGGGCCTTTCGCATCGAAATACCGTAAGTATTCGTCTCAGCGCCGGTCCGTAATTATTCGAATTTTCTCACTCGATTTAAACAGTCGACTCTTGTTCGCTCCCATCCCGAAGATAGATCGTTTGCGCCGAGAAAAACGCATCGTCATACGAGGTTGCCTTCTGTTGTTCGATGCTCCTCACCCTCGGTGAGCCTGACGCCGAAAAATCCGCCCGGGTGCAAGGTGACGCATCGTTTTCCTTACAGACTCTGGCGTTTTCCTCACCAACTTCCTCCCGCTCGTTCCGTAAACTCGGCAAGGGGATAATCTTTTCGCGTTGTAACGGAACACGTGGTTCCGCCTCTGCTCGGCGAAAGAGGCGAAATTTGTCAAACGCACCGAGTTACGTCTCCATAAACGCGGCTCCGATTCTCATCTACCTTTCCTTTGTCGGCGGAGAGACATCTATTATTTCGTATCTCTTACCAAGTCACGACATATGCGCTCCCAATACTCGAGTTGACAAACCTTAACAGGAACTAGGAACAGAGGAACACCGTTCCTACGTTTCTCGCATGCAGCGAATAGGATTGGAGAATGAATCAAATTAGAGTTGATTTTACAGCTTTCTAAGAAATGATGCTGATCAGACGTGAGACTAGTTGCCTTATGACGGACGAGAGTAAGTTGACACGAGTTCTATCGATGAATGACTTTTAAATCTAAAATCCAATTCGATGCCCTCTTTGATATAAATTCGTGATTGAAGGTCTTAATTTTAAAGATCAAAAAATCTTAACTTTAAATGCCATTGAGAAAAAGAGATGTCACGTTTTTGCTTTCTGAGGCGTCGCAATGACTCAATTAGTTTTTTTCTTTCATCCCGAACTCTCATTTTTTTTATCATCTACCACTCTGTCTATCTATCTCTCTCAGTGCTCAGTCGATCTCAGTCTGCGGTTGACCGACTTTTTTGCGACATATTCTAACCACCCGTTGTTGATGTCACCTGCCCCTTTTTTTTCGAAACCAAACTTTACTTCTCAAGCCTCTTTTTCCACCCTCTGTCGCGTTAACTTCTACTTTTTTTTCCGCGTGCCGACACTTATGAACAGTCGGGTTGTATTGACACGGCTCTAAAAAAAGAACGTGGAATGGAGCGGATTCTAATAAGGGGAGACGAAAATGGGAATATGTCGGAAGCAGAGGGTGCGGGCGTATATGAACCACCCTGTTTGTCATTGGATATTTAAATATCGGATCAATCACAATTCATTATGGTTTTAATTTTTTTCCTTTAATAGTCGCTTCATATAAATGACGTGAACAGTAATCGTAATGCAAATAATTATGTACAGATAATAAGAGTATGTTCCAAATGACGGTATAGAAAATTATGATTATGGTACGTTCTTTTAATTCGTTAATTAAAAATACGTGCTTCTTATTTCAACAAATCGGAAGAATTCAAGTGACTTTAATATTCTCGTATTTCAGGAAAAAAATTTATTCTGAAAATATGATCAATAATTTTTTTAAGTCTAATTTTTTGCTATGCTGTGATCTCTTTCACACAATTATTACTACATATA